TTGATTTTTAAGAGCATCTCTCTGTCCTTTTTTAAAATGAAATGCGATAAGGCAATCTTTAAAACTTGAATAATGTAAATAGTAAGGGCAAAAACCCTGAAAAATTAGTAAAACATGGCAACAAAGGAGCTGATAAAAATGCTTCAACTATCCTTAGGAAAAAAAAAAAAGGAGAAGGCTCACAGCTGAGGATTACCTTTGTTTTTTTAATGATTGTGGAAGTAATGAGCACAGGGCTCTACAAATACAGATCTAACACTTGCTGCAGTCCAAATGGAGTACTTCAATTGTTGCATAGAGCATTGCATGAAACCTGATGGCAGAGACCAAGAAGCACAGCAAAGAGTGTGCGATTTAAAGCATCACTTACACACCAAGCAGGCTGCAGAGAAGGACTCAGACCCCCTGCACATTTGGATTACTAGTCACAGAACCTGGCAACAGTTTGGAAGCAGTGGAAGGAAATGCTGACCTTGTATACACAACTGTCCATGGCAGACAAGGATGAGAAAAGGAAGGTAAACCTTTTCCATTATCTTACCAGGACAATGGGCAGAGAAGTGAGTGCAACACTTAACAGAGGGGCTCAATACATTAGAACAGCTGATAAAGGCTTTTTATGGGTAGCATGACCATAGGGAAAAATGAGACTGTGGAAAAATATGATTTTGTTTTAACTCGGAATCAGGATCCAGAAGAAGGAAAAGATAATTATGTTTCAGAGCAAAAAAACATTGGTGTCCACATATAATTTGAAATATAACAGACTCCCTTATTAGAGACAGAATTATTTGTGGGACATCTGATCCTAAGCTAAGGGAGAGATTTTTGAGAGCAGTTGAGCTGACTCTGGTCAAGGCCATTCAAATTCCACGAGTAGCTGAATTATCTACAGAAAGAACCAAAACAATTGCTGGTACAGAACAAGCACACAGGGTCAATTTAAAAGGACCCAGGAGGCAGACCAAAGATAGGGCAACTGAGAATGTAGTCCCTAGGCTCAAGTGTTGGTTGCAGGAAGTGGCATGTAAAATGCAAAGAGAATTGCCCAGTTTATGAGCAAAGATGCCTGGGCTGTGTGAAACAACCATTTTGTATCCCAGCACTGCAACAACCCCAAGGGAAATAAAACCTCAATACATACAGGAGGGGAGGAAACTGAAATTTCTGATTAGGAAGATGAGGCCTTCTCAGTGACTTTAGAAGATCCAAATACTCTGAACATACATGGACTACAGAAGAAAGGTACTACTAAGCCATTGGCCTTATTTCCATTTACATTAGTGGAACAGCAACCAGTGACTTTTCATCTTGACTGTGGATCCAGCTACAAAATAGTTCCTACAAAACTACTCAGCAGTAATATCAGATTGGAGAGATGCTGGTTATGTACAATAAAAGAGCTATACAACCAGTGGGTAAAAGCAGACTACAAAATCCACAGAACAGAAAGCAATCCTGTCTGGAATTCATAGTGGTCAGCACTGAAGAATGCCATCCACTGTTAGGCAGCCAAGCATTGCAAGCCATGGCCCTTTTTTTCAGTGCAACAGAGTATCCTCCACATGAGACAGGGAGGTGGAAGCAAAATGTGGTTCTTGACAGATTTTTTACTGGAGTAAAAAGATGTTTTTGCAGGAGATGGACACCTAGAGGAAGTGCTAAATTTAGAAACGGACCCACACGTACAGCCTTTACAACTGCTGAAATTCAAAGTGCCGCTCAAAGAATGCCTAGTAGCCTTAACAAGAAGGGGCATTATTAAACTAGTGGAAATAAGCACCAGCTAGGTCAGCAGCCTGATACTGCAAAGAAAACCATCTGGCAAACTGAAGATCTGTAAAAATCCAAACCCTCTCAATAGGGCACTGAAAAGAAGCCATTATCCATTGTCCACTCTTGAGGACATACTGCTTGAACTATCAAGGGCAAAATGTTTATGGTTTGTGTTGTAAAACGTGGGATCTGGCATATGGAACTAAATGAGCCTTCAAGCCATCTGCAACCTTTGCAATGCCCTTTTGCAGAGGTATGGATGTCCATGGGCATCAATCCTCCCCCAGAGGTGTTCCAGCGCAAACTGGACTGGACATTAGGAAGAACTTCTTCAAAGTTAGAGTGGCCAAAATCTGGAATGGGCTCCCAAGGGAGGTGGTGCTCTCCCCTACCCTAGGGGTCTTCAACAGGAGGTTAGATGGGCATCTGGCTGGGGTTATCTGAACACAGCACTCTTTCCTGCCTATGCAAGGGGTTGGACTTGATGATCTATTGAGGTCCCTTCCAACCCTAGCATCTATGAATCTATGAATCAGACACTAGAGGGACATTCAGGATTCAGAATTGTATCAGATGACATCCTGATTGTGAAGGGCAGAGAGAGTGAGGAAGAAGCTATCCAGGACTATGATGCTGAGCTGCAACAGCTCCTAACTAAGTGTACAGAAAAGAACACTAAGACAGGTCAAAATTGAGAGAACTGAAGTCCCTTAACATTGGACACCATCTGACCTCAGCAGGACTCCAGCCTGGCCCTAAGAAATTGAGAGTCATTAAGGCTCATAAAATAGGACTGGATCTGATCCTTATCAAAAATAACTAGATATGATCCTTATCTGGCATTGTTGGACCATTGCAATACCCTCTCTCAGGGACTTGATAGTAGCCCAGCCCAGACACCAATGGAGTAAAGAACCAAGACACTACCCATGAAAGACAACAGACAACATTCTGCAACCAAACAGAAAGCAAGCAGACAACACGCAGAGGCTTCTAAGAGGCAGATGAGGAGTATATTACAATAGAGGAGCTAAATGCCTAAGTCCTCTGCATAGCGGAGACAGTCTGCATTCAGCCATGTGGCAGCTATATAAAACAATGGCATGAGGCCTCTGTCCAAGCTGTTATTTAGCCAAGACCCTATGAAGTAGTTAACACTGAGGAGCAGCAGTTGAGAAGAAACCTTAGACGGTTGTGGACCAGCAATGTCAGGGAACCCGCATGCAGGGTCAAAGGAGACCAGTACTCAGGTAACTCTGATCTGGCCTCAGCCATCAGCTGGCTGGAGGTCACAGTCAGATGCAGCAAGGAATATGGGTGGCTCCTAGGAAGAAAATCAACAGGAAGACCACAATGGGACAGAACCAAAGCCCGCTCCAGAACAGTATGCCCAATAAGGTATAGGAGACTACCGTTGCACGTGAATGACTATAGCACCTAGAAAGCTACATAGTGGACAGGTGATGAAATCTATGTCCCCATGGTAGGCTACGTGTTGGAAACCTTTGGCCCCAGACCACCACACACACAAAGATCCATCCAAATGTTCGGGGGTGGGCGGTGTTTTGTTTTGGGGGTTTCTTTTTTTATTACTGGGCAGAACCCTATGCATGAATAGTTTCTGTTCACTCACGGAGGCCGAGACACAACTTGTTTTAAAATTCTGTCCATTAGGGTCTACATCTAAAATTTAGAAGTGAATGCACAGTCTCTGCAACTAGGGCCATGTGTAGATACTGCCCTACCAGCCACAGAACAAAGCACCGGGCTCCGTGCAGCTTAGGGGCTCTGCGGGAAGCCTGTGCAGGCAGCCTGGCAACTGCCCAGAAAGGCAGGCTCCTCCCAAGAGAGGAAAAAAAAAAATAGTGGTGAACCTGATCTCCACCCTCCCTGGAGCCTGCCTGCCTGAGCTGTGAGGGGGCCTGGTGCTTCCCTCTGTGGCTGTGATGCCCCCTGGGACCACCTGATCTGGGTGCCACCTGGGGGGTGGCTGCCACTGCTGTGGAGGAAAGCACCAGCCCCCTCCTCCCCCTCCCCCCACAGCCCAGGGACCACTCTGCCTGCCAGCAGCTTACCCTCCCCTCCCTGCTCCTAGAGAGACAGGTAAGTTGGGTGTGTGCATGGCCCAAGGGTTTAATTGGCCCTAAATTGAAGTGGTGTTTTTAAAAACCCACTGCTTCAATTTAGAGCCCCTGTTTCATCTACACATGCCCTAGGAGACTAGATGAATCAGGGTCCTGGTTTTTAACATTAAACTTAAAATTCTTGACTACTCAGGAAGCTTATCTATCTATCTATCTATCTATCTATCTAGGTGTGTCACTTATCAGCTCACTATAGTGACAAAACTAGCAATGAAAATAGGATAATTAGAAAGTAATCTATCTTCACTGTCTTAATTAATCAGAGGATTGGTGGGGACAGATAATATAAAGAGGATGTTGCAATATTCTGATACTAAATTTGGCCTGTTTCATAATCTTTATATTTGCCTGATTTATATTTGCCCTTGTCATTTTAAAAAGTGATTTTGATGAATGGCATTTTTCTTTGCATGATGCTTTTTATTCTTATCATGCAGCAATGAGAGTGACAGACAGGGAGGGAGAGAGAGCGTATAGACATAAGTCATGGGCATAGTAGAAGAACAGACTCTCAAGTAGTGCTTTTCAGCAAAGTCATTGCTGTTATACCCCCTTTTCCACTACATTTACTTACAACCTTAGATTTTTTCCACATAAAAACAAGTTGCATATTATTTTTTGTGTACATGCATTTGTGTAGACATGCAGGCTCTATATGAAATATATGGCTGTATTATATAAATGCAATCATTAATTTTCATCTTTTCTGTCAGAACTGAATCTTTCCCTCCTTTAAAAGCAGGCATGCTATTAAAAATTGCTTGTTTGGGATTTGTTTGTCATGGCAAACTTGCTCTGGCCAGTTCTGAAGCCCATGCAACTTCAAGGTGGTCTAATGCACTGATGTTCAGATACTTGGATAATGTATATAGTTATTTATTGTGCAATTCACACAATTATACAACTATCTGACTATGGGATATTTAAGCTTTAAAATAGTAACACTTTATAATTCCTTTATAACTGCAATTATGTCTATTAATTTTACAAAAGGAAGCATTCACCTCAGTTGCCTACTGAAGCCCATGTTCATGTAGATAAATCACCCCAGCAAAGATACGAAATGAAAGGAGTACTCACTTGTTTAGTCTTCGTCTTAGTTATGGTGTCTGAAATAGGCTTCTTCCTCTCTTTAACAGCTGTTTTAGAAAACAGTTCTTCAAACTCATGATAATCTATGGAAGGCTCTTCAATTTTTTCCCACACAAGTGAAGCATTAGAATCTCTAAAGTTAAGCAAAAAACCTATGTAGGGCAATGTCAAACTCAGTAGAATCACAAATGGTGGAATAAAAGAGAAGATATTACTAGCATTTTTTAAAACTACTAGCTAATATGAGGTTTCAGGAGTTTAATAAACTATATTTTAGAGTTCAAATCCTTGTTAATGATGTATTGAGGGGCTTTTTTAAGTACACCCCCAGTATTTTTCAAAATACTTGATAAGCACATGCTATAACTCTGCAGATACCAGAATAATTTTTAAAAATACCTAGTTCATTCTACAGCTAATGCTATCAACAGTTCACTATATAAAAAAAAGGAAAAAAAAAAACCCCACAGGACTGGAAATAAGCCAATGACTGCAGACCACCTTAGTTGAGGTGGTGATTAACAGGATGGAAGCTTAGTCAGAGAAAGGATAAATACACAATTAATGTCAAAAAGCAGGACGGTGTTGAAATTGTAGGGGAGGGAGAGAAAAGAAATGACTAATACTAGAATCGTGTTACCATAAACAAAAAGGACATTTTGAAAAAAAGAGAAAAATACATTCACAATTCACAAAAAAGGTTGAGCAAGCCACAGAATTAAGACATGTACAAGTACACATTCATTAGGAGGAACAAAACTGCAAGTTGCTGCAGATGGACAGAGATCCTATCTTGTAGAACAGGCACCAGAATAACCTTTTACATAGAACTCACAAGGGCCAGAAACACACCACCATCACCATATGGGGAACTGAAGGTTGCCAGCATCTCACAAGATTAGATGCAAAGTTGTCCAAAAATCAGCTGTATTTTCAAGCAGCAACAACATACAATTTTTTCCTCCATTCTGACTCTTCAATGCAAAGCAGCAGGATGGAAATCAGTTATGCTTATTAATATGACTGCCTATTTTATGAAAACTGCTTGAAAGAATACCTTGCAAAAGAAAGATAAACATGTAATCACCAGGTCAAAGTTATCTAAAGATTCAAAAACTTAAATTCAATAGATACCTTATTTCAATGCTAATTAAAAATAAAACTAAATTGACATTGATTCTAAATATCTTGCAAAGATCTCTTTACAAGATACTAAACCTAGGATGCTGAAAACATCTTGCAACCAAAACAGTCCATTATTCCTTCATCAGAATATGTACATATATACACGCACATTTTACCTTTTACTATGGAGCTGAATTCTTGTCCAGTAAAGGGGCTTCATTGGTCGAGATGGTTCTATTGCATGCTTTCTGCTCCCTTTATCCTGGTTCATCCCCATTACAAATAAACCGGCTGGTAATGGAGGAGGAAGAAACCCACAGACTTGTGGAACAGATGGCAAGATACTGCTCTGGGCTGGGGGTGGCAGAGGAGGAAAGGCCCCAGGTGGAGGTGGCGGAGCTGGTGGTGGCATCCCCATGCTAGGCAAAGGAGGGGGAGGAGGGGGAACTCCTGCACCAGGCAAAGGTGGGGGCGGGGGAGGCATTCCCATGCTGGGCAGAGGCGGGGCTGGTGGGATGTTGGCACCAGGCAGAGGTGGGGGAGGAGGTGGCATTCCCATGCCAGGTAAAGGAGGAGGAGGAGGGATGCCTGCACCAGGCAAAGGTTGGGGTGGGGGTCTCATTCCCATTCCAGGGAGAGGGGGGGGAGGGGGAGGCGGAGGTGCCATTCCTGTTTCCTGCAAAGAAGTCGGGGGAAGGATTCCTGTACATGGCAGAGGAGGGGCAGGGGGTAGCATTCCTGTTCCAGGCAAAGGCGGTGCTGGTGGGATGCCTGCAGATGGGAGAGGTGGGGGTGGGGGCAGCTGCAGCATCTCTCCACTGGGCAAAGGTGGAGGGAGAGCTGGGGGAGGCATCACAATACCAGGAAGAGAAGGGTCCAATGCTGTCCAAACCAAAGGAGGGAGGAGTCCTGAGCCAGGCAGAGGTGGTGGGGGTGGGATACCTGCCCCAGGCAGGAGTGATGTGAAAGAAGGACCTCCTGCTCCAGGCAGGGGAGTAGACAGTTGTGTGTCAGGCAGTGAATGTCGAATGCTATGGGTGGGCTCCGAGGATATGAAAGGGGGGCACTCACTGCAAGTCACACTCTCAGTATTTTGGAAGTGTGGTGGCAATTCACTCTCTCCTTCAAGTGAAAAAGAGAACAAATCAGCTGCAGGTCCTGGAAGAGGTGGTTGTGACATATTTTGCATTGATTGGCTTGCATCCAGTGGTACCGAGATCATTTTCGGTGACAGCATTAAAGATAATTCAGAACAAAAAGTGGGCTGTAGTTCAAGAGTTGGCAAGTGCTGAGTTGGCCCTTCGCTGCGAACCCCTTCCATATGATGAGGTGGCAGTGGCAGTGCATTGGCTGAAGGCATTGCGTGTATTTCTGTTGGTGAAGTCTGTACTGATTTTACTTGTAAACCAGTTTTGGAGAGGGCATTCAGTTCGCTTGTTTGAACAGCAACACCAGTGAGCCTTCTAGAAACTAGGTGTCCAGGTTCACTTCCCTGGTCTCTCCAAAGAGTCTGTGCCTCTGTTGCTGGAAACTGTTTCTCCAGTTCTGCAATTTTGGTCCTCAGATCCTCAATGGTTTGCTCGAGCTCTTGAATGACATTAGCACGCTCCTCAGATTTCAGCTCAAAATCATCCTTTGGGGGGAGAAAGAAGAAATTAGTGCAAAGGAGAGAGAGCATTTCCAAACACACACAGTTTCATAATTATTAGGGGCTGGAAGGGACCTTACAGATCATCAGGTCCAGCCCTCCTACACTTGGATAGGAAAGACTGCTGCAATCAGATGGTCTTGGTTTTGGTTCAGTCAGCTGAGATTAAACATTTTACCATCCATTCAGTAGTTTAGTTCCACTCTGACTGGAACCTTGTAGTCAATGCAAATAGGGGTTACCTGTGAGCATAGCAAGTACTTTGCTACCCCATTTCCATATAAAAGGAGAAACTATATTTCTAAATTTACACTTCTATGAAAGGCAGTAAAGGTACTCAAGCTAGAGTCACTATTTATTAAAACTGTATTAGCATATGTTTTTTGCATTGTAAATGGAATCCTCCTATTCAGTGTAATGTCATCCAAAAATGGATTAAAAATACAGCAGTGAATTATGAGTATTGCAACTCTTTTTTGTAAGTATAGATAAAGTCCCATATGGAAAGTTCCATGAATCATCTCTAATGATTATGAATCCAAGTGTGTATTCAGTATAATGCCACTTTATGAAGACCTGAATGCAGTATTGAAGGCCGGATTTGAATATATATATAATTTTATAGCTCCAATAACAAATAGGGAAGAATATAGAACTAATTAAAAAAAAATGCTACCTTACTGGATTTCTTGGCCAGAATTCCAGCCTCTAGGGTAGGAAAACAATTTCATGAGAAGAGGAGACATTTTAAAACTTAGTATTTTCATAAGATCATGAAAACTGATGGACTGTCAAATCTCCTGCTAAGCAATTGTGTAGGACAAACAAAAACAAACTCCTTAATAGAGATGGTCTTCTAATGAAGTTGAAGCATTCTATACTACTAGATTTTTTTTTTTTTTTTTTTTAACATTTTTTGAGACGGGAAGTATAATACAGAGGAAGGGTGTTGATTTCTTGACAGGTTCTGGCTGTTAGAAAATGAATTAGTCAACCTGGTCTCACAATGCTAGTGCAATCTGAACATACATACCTTTGTTGAGATGTGTGCTCAGAGGGAATTATATCAATTAAATGTATTTGGGAAAACAGGATGTATATGCTTTGGTTAGATAGCATTTGGAATCACTTACTTTAACACCCGAGTCTTTTCCAAGATTTATCCCAAGCAAGAACATCTTGCCTCACTTAAATCTTTTTAGGCATCTATATATTCATAGAGAAAATGAAAGGATCGCTTCAAGGAACACACAAAAGCAACTTTTTACATACAAACTGGTTTGTTTTTGATAATCTCCTATAAGATCCCTAGACAATTAATTTAGTTTATAGAATCTGAAAGTCTCATTAAGGGAAAAATGGAATTTCTTCCTCCGAGTTCAGCCAAAAAGAAAAAAAGATTGAATCATCCATATCCTGCAATTTTGTAATTTTTATACAAACCAAGAATTTTAAAATTTAAAGGATCATTTAAATATGAGGTGCATAAAATGGGAATTGTATTTGAAATGTCAAATTATTTTGTCTGGTAAAAATTACGATAATTGACCTGCTACACTTCAATTCCTTTGTAGCTGGTTAAAAGGATCTCGGGATTCTCTTAAACGATATTAATTCTTTAATTAAAAAAATTAGCACACTAGCTTTATGAAGAACAGGATATTTCTACATATTTGAACTAAAAACGTTTTGCACTTTACTGTTTAAACTGACAACATCAGACCAAAAAGTCTCTCCAACTTCCATTGCTAAAAGCCTGAATTCTTTCCCCATACATTTGGCTTTCTTCCCCTTTGGTAACCAGTTATGGACCAAACATACTGAAGAACCATGGATCCATGTAGGTTTCAACAGCCTATACTGTTAATATCGAGGTAGGGATATTAACAATACCTTAACATCCCTACCTGGAAAAAATGAGGGAAGGAGGGAGCTTTTTATAGACCTTTAATTTAAAATTAAAAAAAGAAAAGAAAAATAAACAAACAAATCTGCAAACTTATGAAAAAGCTCCACCTTAAAGTCCAAAGGAGAATTTCAGAAAACTATGAGACATATATATATATATATATATATAAAATCTCCCCTGTCTCTTATTAGGATCTGAAGTTTAAACTATGAGATAATCAGCTTTCTGTAAAGAAGAAGGAGGAAAAAAAGGCTGGTGAGAAGCTTAAGCCTCACTGTGTTTGACTGAAATTGGGTGTGTATGATTCAAGGAAAATGAAGAAATAATTATGGATATTAATATATGTTCCATTAAAGCTAAGTGGAGAGCAATAATGCCCCTTCATACTCTAAAAATGAACAGAATAACTTTTTTTTTTTTTAATTAAAAGGAAATTTGTAATCTCTGGAGAACAAACGCACATGATTGTCTACCTTTGAAAATTAAGTATTACTAGTATCATTGCTTAATGGCTGTCAAATGCTTAACTGGACATCTGTGAGAATTTTGTACTTAGTGCCCAGAAGTTTCTTCTTCATGTGAGCTCCATGATTAGACATCAAACCTCTAATTTTTCATTTGAGATTTTTTATATAAACTGTGTTTAGTGGGTCTACCAGGATTGCAGAGGCAAGGTAGCCTTACCAACTACCTTGTCTATGAAATACATTTTTCAATGTAAAAGTGAAAGCAGATTTGTAGCTTCCACTCACCTATGACATATTCAACACTGCTCAACCTGCAATTACAGCTGTAGTTCTTTGTAACATAAAAAGCCTAGCAGATCCTTCATTTTCCAAATTTAATAGGTTTTTAAAAACTATTCTAAGAGCCCTGCAGCTCAGCATAAAGGCAGGAAACATGGCATTTTAGCAAAGTCTCATACTGCCCAGTTAAATGATGCTAAAATGAGAAACACTTCAGAAAACAGTGTTCAATTGACTGCCATACTTCACTTGCCAGGTGAAGTAGACAATCATGTTCTTTAGTATTCTAGCTTTACTGCTGGAGGTATTAAGGGAAAGGAAGCCCCTCCACCCCCACCCCCACACAACCCCTCCCTCCCAAAAAAAACCCATACCCAAAACCTTTAGGGAATTTGCTGTCAGAAACAGAACCATTCCAATTCCAAGTCTTTCTAATCTTTTTTTTTTTTTTTTTTAAACTGTTTGATTAAATCTCCCCTATTCCAATGATCATGTAATGTTGCATAGGTTTGGAACGGAAAGGAGTCCTGAAGGGTATAAATTTCCCTAGACTTTGATTATTCCAGTGGGAAAAGGTTAGCAAATAGGTACATGTGCTAATGGTGAAAAATGTATAAGCAAAAAGTGAAAGCTGATTTATATTAGTTTAGATTTAGTTTACAGTAAGTTAGGTTAAGCAGACTGCCCTGAGAAGTTGTAGAATCTACTTTATTGGAGGACTTCAAGAGGAGAGTAAACAAATATATGATAGGGATTGTGTAGTAATAGCATTCCTGTACTCATGCAGGGTGTTGAACGAGATGATATACAAGGTCCTTTCTAATTCTATGATTTATTGTTTAATTCACTTATTCAGCAAGATACTGATAATTAGTCTTTATTCCTTGGGTCTAAATTTCAGGAAAAAAAATATGCTTATAATTTGCAATACAAATTTCCTGTTGTGCATTTTGACTTTGAATCATGTTTCTTGAAGTGGTTCCTGAAAGGAAGCATTTGATCAGACAAACATTTTCCTCCTGTGCAGATAGATGTCTGGTAGAGGACTCCTACCTTTGTTCATAGGCAAATTAATTGTCAAAAGAAGGAAAATGTTTAACAAAGTTTTCCTTTAGAACATAAGGTAGTCATTTAGATATGTTAGTCCCTGGTCACTGAATGCCTTGAAAATAAAGACTGAAGAGCTTTTTTCTCTGTAGAAGGTGGGGGACAGATTTGATGTACGTCAGTGTAGCCCATGTTGCTGAAGAGATCAACTGGTACAGACTGCTTCGGCATAAGGAATATGGGCTTCCTATTGCACTACAGTAGTCTAGGCTGAAAGGAGATGAAGGTGTCAATAACTAGTGTCATGATATCATCTACAAGGGTAGATGGTCGCCTGCAGCGAATTTGAAATAGAATAAAGTGTTGCTTGGTAAGTTGGTATCTTAGCATCATAGAAAAATCCAAATTGATTAATGCAGTTGCGATCCTTCAAAGAGACTACACCATGTTTGGATGTCTTCAAAACAACTTCTGCTGATCAGCCTCTATTTTGCTCAGGTATACCTTCCACCAGCTCTTCTTTAAGCCTCTAAGATGCAAAAGTGCTAAA